TCAGTGTTTTAGAGCAACTATCCACTATGCTGAAAACCATGAAACCTCCAAATCTTTTGAGAGGCAGGGAAAGGACAAGGGTTGGGCCTTAAGTTTTTATGAGAGAGCCTAAATGAGAATGAAATATGAATAGAGTATCGAGAGCAAAAGGCTTTGTCTTTTATTCTTACACTGTATGAACTTTGTTAAGAACTAAAATCGTGTGATGGAGACCTATGAGCACATACTGAGTACAAAACGTGAAAAAATTGCACTGGCTTCATTGACTGTTGACTGGGTTTGCTTTATGTTAGCATCGCGTTTCATTCACAGATGTCAACAATAAGAGAAAACATCTTGACTGGGCACGGTGGCTCATGCCTATAATCCCAGCACTTTGGGAGGCCGAGGCAAGAGGATTGCTTGAGCCCAGGAGTTCGAGACCAGCCTAGGCAACATAGGGAGACAATGTCGCTACAAAAAATAAATTATCCCAGTGTGGTGGTGTGCACCTGTAGTCCCAGCTACTCCGGAGGCTGAGGAGGGAGGATTGCTTGAACCCAAGAGTCCGAGACTGTGATAAGCTGTGATCCTTTCACTGCACTTCAGTCTGGATGACAGAGTGAGACCCCAACTCAAAAAGAAAATATATCTCTACATATAATTGTTAGACCTGTTTAATATCTGTAAGACAGTTTTTGCCAGAAGAGTAGCAAAAAGAAACAATTATAAGCATTTTAAATTATAAGGAAAAGCAAAATAAAGATGCAAAAGCACAAAGTCTAAATTCACATTCAAATGATAGAAAATAATACTAAGATAGCTAAGATCCCAGTGTTTGTTAAAACTTCTAAACTTAGAGACTTGAATTTAGACAGGAAATTGAACATGTATTATTTCACCGAAGCCGATTCTAGTCCTGAGACAAATTTGGTAGTAATACAACAGTGGTCTTGTTCCAGGAGAACTAGAGTCCTGCTTTCTTTTGCAGTCAATCAGAAATGAGAGGCGGAGGGCTGGGAGAAAATAGATTTATTCTGTAACCATGGAGCAACAGGGAGCAAGTCTGCATTGCTATGAGGACTCACTCAAGAAAATGTAGCTTTCTTTACGTATTTATAGTTTAAACATGCAATCTTTTTATCCTAGCTGATGATTAATGGTATCAACGCACAATGGGACCATTGCTCGGTGTTTTCTGTTTTGCTGACCTTTCTTTTCATGTAACCATTGACATATAGCAGTGCCCTGGCAACATGTAAAGCAACAAACTAGTTATCACCAATCATGTCTTTCTGAGGTCACAAGCTTTCCAATATTTCCCAAGCAACACACACTCTGTTCTTCATGATTCACTGAAAACAATAAGTATATAGTATACAAAGCTTAGTTGATGATTAAAGTAAAAACTGAACTTTAAAATCACATTGGGAGGGCACATTCTGAGGGCAGTGCAAAGGAAGAAGGAAAGAGGTGTGCACTTTTAAAGCTAAGCAGCCTTTACATTCATCTTGACTAGCCATTGTAAAATTAAGAAAAGATGGGTTTTCATTATTTTAATAGGAGTTGTTTCTTTACCATAATCGAGCAACCCTTGGCTTTAGCCTGTAACAGTCTGGGCACCTCTCACTACAGGATCTGCCCTTGGGATACAGAGGCTCTGAGGCACCTAGCAGCCCCACGCAGGATCGTCTCCTCCAGGCAGACAAAGACAAATGAGAATGGAAGTATTGGTAACATGTCCAAGACTGCTCACAAATAGCATAGGGAACCTGTTGTGCCAATGCAGGGAAGCCAAGACCTTGGACGAATAGTCCTGGAATAGAGATCCTTCAGTCAGATCCCACCTTTCATGGAAGACCAGGGCAAGGGCTGCACCCTCTGCCTGGTCAGAGTTCTTAGGAAGAGACAAATGAGAAAGGCCTGTACAAACTGAACATACCTCACCAGTACATAATGCCCACCCCAAAACCCAGTGCCCTAAGTCACCTTTCTTCTTTCTTCTGAAAGCACTAAGGTGAGCTTTCCTTCAAATTGGGATGAATCATCCCAGGAAGAGGCAGTAGAGAAAGAGAGATGCCCTCAGTGAGAAGCTTATCCCCAGCAGAGCTTCTACCCCAACCTCAGCACCAGGAGCCCACAGGGGTCTTGTGGAAATAAGAAGCAGTCACAGGTACACTTAAAGCCCAGACTTCATTATACAAAGCAGCCATGTACCCAAAAACCATCCATAACCCTAAAGCTGTTGAAATAAAATTTTTTTAAAATTTTTATTCTAAAGATGTGAGGTACAATTCAGGGTTAGGTATACAATCGTTGATTATGCAGGTACCCTTGTTGATGAGGTATGCCCCCCCTCCCCTCGCAGTTTTCCTCAACTGCCAGTCCCACACCCTCTCCCCTAACAGTTTCCCACTACTGCCAATCACTTTCTTATAGCATTATAATTGTTCAAGGTCAGCTTGTGAATGAGCACATATGGAACTCTGTTCTTTGTTTCTATGATAAATCACTGAGTATGATCGACTCCAAACCCATCCAAGTTGCTGCAAAGTCCATATATTTGTCCTTCTTAATGGCTGCATAATATTCCATTGTGTATATGTACCACATTTTTTTTATCCAGTCCAGTTTCGATGGGCAACATGGTTGCTTCCATGTTTTTGCTAATGTGAATAGAGCTGCATCAAAACCATATTGAGATACCACCTAACCCCTATAAGAATGGCCATCATTAATAAAACAAACAACAACAGATGCTGGTGAGGATGTGGAGAAAAAGGAACATTTCTACACTGCTGGGGGGAATGCAAACCAGTACAACCTCTTTGGAAGACAGTGTGGTGATTTCTGAAAGAACTAGAAATTGACCTTCCATATGACCCAGCAATTCCCCTATTGGGAATATATCTGGAGGAACCCAAATTATTCTACAAAAAAAATTTTTTTTTAAAGAATTGGCAGTTATGGCAATAGTCAAGTGCTTTTCTCTCACCCACTGTTTGACTTGTTGACTTTTTTTTTTTCTTTTCCCGGGATGTTAGCTTGGAAGTCAGAAATGTATCTAGAAATGGCCATTTTCATCCACTCCCACGCCCTCCAACAGAACTCAGTTTAGGGAGCACAGAATTGAAACCCCTATGAGAACTGAACAGCTTATATGCTGATGTTTCAAATTTGACAGAAAGACCAAAACAAATGCTAGTTCACCTCCCATTCACTTGCATATAGGCCAATATTTTGGTTTAGTTCTGCATTTCACAGTAAGTCCATCATATCTCTTTCCCGTGGGTGAGGTGACAGTTATACAGCATTTATTTTGTGTGACAGGCTTATCCATATATTTCTTCCTTAGTAAAAGTAAACTGCAGACGTTCTGAGACAGTGGTGGCCACATACATTTTTAACAATGTTTCCAAGTTTATAAAACTCCTTTCCTCCAAGCCCATGTGATACTTATAAAGAATAGGATTTATGAGAGTAACCATCCATAGACTTATGAATATATCTCTCCTTTCACACTTGATTAGTTCACTACTATGTTTCCTTCCAGGTACTAGTGGAATCAGGAGCAACAAGGAAAGAATGGTTTAAATCATCGTTGTATTCACCTGCAACCATCTTTGCTCCTTATCTGGTAGCATCTCTCTTTGTAGCCAAAGTAGCTACAGATATGTGCTTCATACTCTCAGTTGCTCTCTTTTTTTTTTTTTTTTTTTTTGAGTTGGAGTCTCACTCTGTCACCCAGACTGGAGTGCAGTGGCTGCTCCCGGCCACCGCAGCCTCAACCTGCTGGACTCTGGCGATCCTTCCGCCTCAGCCTTCCAAGTAGCTGGAACTACAGGCGCGTGCTACCACGCCCAGCTCATTTTGATTTATTGTAGAGATGAAGTCTCACCAAGTTGCCCGGATGGGTCTTGAACCCACGGGCTCAGGCAGTTCACTCACCTCAGCCTCCCAAAGGCACAGGATTACAGGCTGAGCCACCAAGCCCAGCTTCAGTTGCTCTCTTGACAAAGTCACAAGATTACAGAAGTTGGCTAAATTGTACCTTATGCAGCACTGTTTTGTTGATATTTTATTTTGCTATTCACATAAGGATAACAATTATGATATTGGGACTTGCTGTGGTAAAAAAAAATAGAGAATAAATTGAGTATTTCTTGCTTTACAAGAATCTATTTAAATTAGTAGAATTAAAATTAACTATATTATTTGCAGTTTACCCTAGGCTATCCTGTGAAGTGGAAAGTCAAATCCCATAGTAGGAAAACCAACCTGCTCTTGCAGATTTGTTCATGAACAAGGGGAAGATTAGAAGTCGGAGGTCTTCATTGCATTCGAGGAATTGCCCTTTTACCTTCAGCAAGTGTTGAATCACTTAACCTTTTCTTGTCTGGCATGATTTGTGTTTTGAATCTGTGGAAGGATCATCTATCATCGCTGCATTCTGTAGTTACTAGTACTTGTTCTTTTCTAGGTTACCTAAAATCAATACCTCTTCTAGAGAGGTGATTTTCTCCCCTGCCACCTCATTTGTGGTGGTAAGTAGTGCTGCTTGCAACGCTGAACTTGCCAGAAAGCTGTCTATTTCCATGCTGGCCTGGTGCAGCATTGAAACCATGCAAGCTCCATTAGCCATTCCTATCTGTGCCATGGAAAGAGAGAAGCCCAAGCAGTTTCATTTTTCTCCTGTGTTTTCAGGGCTTGTTGCAGAGGTTAGGTAGTTTGAAGTGATGAGTTTCCTTGTAGCTTTTTGCCATTTCTATCGTGTATAGTAACCCCTGGTAGGTGAACAGTGGGCTTCAAAACTACATAGATGATAATCATCTGCAGGTCATGCCTCGGAATCTAGTAAGCATCTCAGCTTGCACAATGGGACCTGATTTCACAGGCAGAAAGAGAAAGCTGGGGGACCTTAGGGGGCTGTAGACAGTGTAGCCAGTGGTGACAGCAGTCACCGGGATTCTCTCCCTCCTGCGTGTGCATGTGTTCACATTCATGTTCATGTTCATTCTTAGGGCGGCAGCAGCAACTGGATGCAAAACGCCTGAGTGACTATGTGAATGCTGACCACGACCTGTATCACACCCGCCGGTCAGTGGAGCCCCCAACTGAGAGGCCTGGTGAGCGGCGCCAGGCCGAGATGAAGCGCTTGTATGGGGACAGTGCTGCCAAGATCCAAGCCATGGAGGCCGCGGTGCAGCTGAGCTTTGACAAGCGCTGTGACAGAAAGAAGCCCAAGTACTGGCCGGTCATCCCCCTGAAGTTCTAGGCACTGGGCACGGGGACCCCTGGAGTGCTTCCTCACAGGGTCTCCTGCCTCAGCCCCTTCCTTTTGGATGCATCCTTTTCATTTCTTCTTCTGTACCTTTCTCAGGAAAAGGGAACCTTATACCTAGGTACAAGCATGTTACCAAAGTCCCAGTGTGCCCTTCACAGGGTAAATGTATTGTGCCAGCCACTCAGAGGTTGGCAGGATGTATACTGTTGCCAACATGAGTCTCCTGACATAAAATGATAATTGTGTGTATATTACACTCATTTTTGATGTTGTTGATAACAGTGTTCATTCAGTTCATTAAAGTTCTTCCCTAGAGATACTGCCTACTGTTTTTGCCTTTTTATATTTTCTTCTGTCTTTAGCCCTCCTGAACTACACAAATGCCTTAAATAAGCCAGTTGGCCTCTCTGACTCCAATGCTTTAGTCCCCACTAAAAATGAGCCAAGCATGCAGTGAGACATTTACCTCTTCCCTCTAATGCAGAGGGATGTGTGTTCTGTGGAAGGCCAGAGAGTGAATACTTTTGGCTTTGCAGGCCACATGGTCTGTGGCATAACTACTCAACTCTATCCTTGTAGCGTGAAACCAGCCACAATCAGTAAGTACACAGATGGGTGTAGCTATGTTCAATAAAACTGTATTTATAAAAACAGGCCACAGGCCATATTTGGTCTGCAAATAGTCATTTGCCAAACATTACTCTTATGGATTGAAAATCACCTGTCTGACATTGTGATTCTTGTTATCTTGTTATCTCCACAGAGCTTAGATATCATACAGAATTGAGAGCAAAAAACAGTAATTCCCAAACCTGGTCACTTCTACGGTCTCCTCTGTTGTAGAAAATGCACTAGTGAGTTCTTACTATACCAGTGAATATTGTTTTGATAAGGGAATACATTTCTGAAAATGAAAATCTAAAAGCTGATGGTGCAGGTCATTTATAAAAGCCAGCTGCCTTTAAATAAGTTATTACAGTGCATTGCCAGGGTGAGCCCCGGTTGACCCGAGAAGATTAGCACATCCATCAAAGGTTGCTGAAAAGACTTCATATTGACATGTTTCTTGCTAAGAACACTTGGCTTCACAGCTCCTGCCCTGAGACAAATGCATTATTTCATCAGCCCCAGGTGCTCATTTTTCCAAGCTTTCATTTTATTACTGGAGTTTCAATTTGTGTGTAGGTATTGCAGACAAAAATGAGAATTAACTTTCTCCTGAGGTGACACAACTAAAATTTCAGATCTTTAGTATATCTCCTTTTTATTTTTTATTTTATTTTTTTGAGTTGGAGTCTTGCTCTGTCACCCAGGCTGGAGTGGCCACCGCAGCCTCGACCTGCTGGGCTCAGGCAATCCTTCCACCTCAGCCTTCTAAGTAGCTGGAACTACAGGTGTGTGCTACCTCACCCAGCTAATTTTTTAATTTATTGTAGAGATGAGGTCTCACCAAGTTGCCCAGCCTGGTCTTGAACCCCTGGGCTCAGGCAGTCCTCTTGCCTCGGCCTCCCAAGGTGCTGGGATTACAGGCTTGAGCCACCACGCTTGACCATATATCTCCTTTTTATTTTAAACTCATATGCCTAACTATAAAATAAATGTGACTCAGACACACGTACAAACCAAAGTCTTTAACTGTGCAAGTGCTTAGCTACTTGAAATGTTTCTCTTTGCAAAAGCCTGTCATCCCTTCCCCCAAAGAAATCGCCATGCCTATCCCACCCCTGCTGGCTTTGTCATCTAGGGGAGTTACTTTCCCCTCTCAGTACTTCTGGTTCCTTCCTCATCCTTGAAATGGTTGCTAATGATCTCGTGGGATCATTGTTCTGTGGAAGGCCAGACAGTTGAGTAGTGTCTGTAAAACATAGCGCTGGCCACAAGGTAAGTAATAAAAGCTGATACTTATTCATTCTCTGTCTTTAAGAATTGCTGAAAAGTGCCAATGGGAATGTAAAACTTCCAAATATGGAGAAGTGTGTCCCTATCAGCTCTTCAAATGGTTGTGCTGGCTTCTGGGCACCTCATACCCAGGTGGGTATCTCTTGGATAATTTGTGATAGGAGGCACCAATAGCTTGTTCGTTCATTTATTCAGCAAATATTTGACCCCCCCCCTCCATCCCAGTTGGCTAACCCATAGCCTCTTCCCTCAGGGCATTTGCATTCTAGAAGAGGCAGACAGGGGTGCAGTGATAGTATGGCCTCTGTGAACTGCTAAAGGCAGCTACAAGAGCACGAAAGAGAGACATCAGGGCAGGGTTTCTCAGTCTCCGCACTATTGACATTTGGGGTCAGATCATTCTTTGTTGGGGTTGGGGCCTGTCTTGTGCATTGTAGGAGATTTAGCAGCATCCTCGGCCTCTACCCACTAGATGATGCCAATATCATAACCCATGACCATTGTGACAACCAAGAATGTCTCCAGACACTGCCAAATGTCCCGTGGGGAGCAAAGCTTGGCAAGAAGGAAAGTGATTGTCAGGGAAGGTCCAGGGCTGTAAGATAGCTTCTGGTGTTTGGGGGAGCTTCTAGTGGTTTGGTCAGACTGGGACAGAGTGCCCTTGGATGCTGCATACAGAGCGCTAGACATGTGGATACTGGCCAGGTAACACAGGACGCTTAACAAATTAGTTTCTTTATCCCAAAGCACTAGAAGGAGGCTGAAAGAATTCTGGTGGGAAATGGTGCAAACCTACCTTATCTAGCTAAGGGGAGGCGCTGATGCAAGGAACTGGCAGAAAAGACACAGAATCAGCCCATCAGGTAAACTCAGCTGAACTCCCAAGGTGTTCCAGAGAATCCACGTGTAGCTAGGGTTGCTTGCTTTGATGACATGAGCCAGTCTGGTCAAAGGTGGACTGTCCAGTCTGACCTCTTTACTAGCTACCAGCAAATGAGTTTACCAGAAAAAAAAGGTAAAAATAAGACCCATGGTTGCCAGTCTAGGGAATTTTTTTTCTCCCTCCTTTCTCTTCTAAATCCTGGTTTGGTTTTTGTCTGTTAGTGACAGTCTGATGGCTATTTTCCCTCATATGTATGTGAGAGTATCTGGGCATGCAGAGCTAACTAAATGTCTCTAGCTCTTTGACCAATCATAGATGAATCTGTGGGTGTCTTAACTGATAGGATCACATGGCCTTTTAGCAAGACTACCTTTACCAATGAAGAGAACACATGTTGAAGAAGCCAATGTCTGATGGAAAAAACAGTTTTTTCTCTCTACTCTCACACTCAGTGCAACAAAGAATGCTTCTGACACCAGATGTGTGAGTGTTTTTCCCCACATGCCTAACTGGGTGTCCTATAATTCAATTCAATTCTAACACTTTCTATCTACAGTTTAGCATCTGATCCCACAAGGGCTCAGTCCCTCAAGACTGCCTCCCACTTCAGATGCCATTTACAGTAGTAAAATGTCACTATACTTCTTACCAAATGGCTATAAATCAAGGTTCCCACAACCTTCTCCTTGGGTTCGATTGATTTCCTAGGATGGTTCACAAGTCTCATGAAACCACTTGTATTTACCTACTTTTTATAAAGGATATTACAAAGAATACAGGTGAACAGGAAGAGATGCATAGGGCAAGGTATGGGAGAAAGGGCAAAGAGTTGTTTTGCCTTTTCGGAACATCACCCTCCAGGCCCCCCCCATGTGTTCGGCAGTCCAGAAGCTTTCCACACCCAGTTATTTTGGGTTTTTACAGAGGCTTCATTACATAGGCATGATTGATTAAATCATTGGTAATCAACTCAACCTTCACCCCTTTTTCCCTCCCAGGAAGTCAAGGGCTGGGGCTGAATGTTCCAACCTTCTCACATATTTAGTTCCCCTGGCAACCAGCTCCCATGCTGAGGCTATCCGGGAGCTTACCAAGAGTCCCTCCATTATAACAAAAGATCCTCCTGTAACCCAGGAAATTCCAAAGTATTTAGAAACTCTGTGTCAGGAACCAGGATCAAAGACCAAATATTAGAACAAAAGTTCTATTAGTGCCTCCCAAAACAAGGGTTTCGGGAGCTGTATGTCAGGAACTGGGAGTAGAGACCAAATACACATACACACACACACACACACACACACACACACAATTCTAATTATGTCACAATGGCAGACCACTTACAAGCTTATTTCAGAAAAGATGTTCAACCAGAGAACCTCAAATTACAGTAAGAGTGAAATTTCACACTCTTCAGATAGGCAAATGTTTAAAAAGAGTGAAAATGCCAAGGGTGACAAGGATGTAGAAAGATGAGAATTCACACTACAGTGTGAATATAGGTCAGTCCACTGTGTTGAAGAGCTAAATGGCATTTTCTTATAAAGTTAAAACATGTACATGTCACCCAACCATCCTACTCCAAGTTATATGCCCAAAAGACATTTTTCCATGTGAGTACACGAAGGTTCACATGAGAATGAGCATTGCAGTACAGTAATAGCAAACAATTGGAAACAGATTAAGTGCTCATCTACAGGGCATGGGTAAATAAACTGTAGAATGTTCACACAATGGCATACTACAGGAGCCCTTAAAAGAACTGACCCAGACTACATGTTTGAAAATGGCAGTATGAAGTTGAAAAAAAGGAGGCTGTACAGGTATATATGATAGTAAAAAGTACACACACACACACACACACACACACACACACACACACACACACACACACACCAACTTCAGAGTAGTGGTTAGTTCTGAGCAGGGAGAGGATTGGGGCAGCACTCAAAAACATTTTTCTTTGGTATCTCTAATGTTTAATTTCTTTATAACAGAAAGTGATAGTAAGTAACTCAGTTTCCATGGAAGCCCCCAAATTCATCAAACTCTGTTCTAATACAAAGTAATTTATCTTCCACTTCATTTTTAGGGTTAAATGTTATATGAAATATTTACTTTTTTTAACCAAACACTTGTATAAGTCTTATAAGGCCACACACTCTTCTAATAGCTTTACAAATATTAATTTCTTAAGCAATCAACCTATGATGAACCTGAGGTAGCTATTACAGGGACAAAATGTATTTTCCAAAATGCTTAGATCAGGAATGTTTCAGAATGCAGACATTGTTGTACTTTTAAAAAGTAAAATAGCATATTATAGAACCCATCCCCATGAACTGGGGCAGCAGCCTGCCATCAAGACAGTTGTACTATAAAATGGAAGAATATTCTAAGTGGGATAAATAAAGACCATCAACATCCTCAATTCCGTTCAGGTCATGTTTTGTCATCTAATCATTAAGGTCAAGTCAGGTTGTGCTGCCAAGCAAATTCAAACAAACAAACAAAATCTCTTCCAGTTTCAGAGCTTTGGG